TTGTATCTCAACACCCTCATTGACAAAAAGGGACATGCAAACTAATAAAATAAAAAGTTCAGTGATAAACCAAAAGTATAGGGAGGCCACTTCCTAACGCCCATAAAACAGGTGTGTTCTTAAAATTTACCAAGTTCAGAGAAGTTGTGTAAAATGGTGAATTGATCCCGGGTTGAAAACATCTTTTTCAGGGTTGTATTTGACCCAACACTGGCTTACAACCCACGTTTTATTCATTTGAAAAGAGAATAACTCAACCAGTCAGTTAAAACTGTATTGAGTGAAATTCATGATACAAATAAATTCTGTGTGCTCATTTGTTCCTTCTTCTAAAAATGTGTTCTCGTTCATTCCTGAAAAAAGATAAGGAATTGTAAAAAGACCTACCCGCCATTTTGCAACATCCGGCTCTTTACCTGACAATAAGGAAGTGACTTAGAAAATAGGACAGAAGTAAAAGAAGACACACAACGCACAGACAAACATGCAGTAATACAGATAGAGCAAACTACATACATGCAGCATACACTTACATACAAACGCACTTCACATCCACATAGAAAGGGAAGGGTTTGACGATAGTTAAAGAAATTTACCTGTAGCTATGTGCCTTTTACGAACACGTTCCATTGCAGTATCAATGTCAATTTCAACAAACCTTCAAAAGAAAAAGAACATCTAAACCAACGAATGATAGAAACTATAAAAATAAAGAACCAAAGGTATAGAATAATGCCCAAGACCTACATACTCCAAGCAAAATTTATTAATGACATTTTTCAAAAAAAGTTACATTTAAAAAGACTACCATTTCTCGTCAAATACTGCACAGACCTCCTTCCAGAACCCATCTTCCAAGAACAGATAATTCCCTTCTACAATTACTATCTTGTGCCTGCCAAATTGTAATAGAACTTGATTACAGGAGGACAAATATAACCAAAAAAAAAAAAACTAAGATATTCTAATTTACATTTGCCTTCTCTACTAATTTTGGAGCTCACAAAATAGTAAGCACTTCCATTACTAAGGACTGGAACTTGAACTTTTGATAGATTTTGCTTGAAACAGAAGAGGTTGCAAGTTTGAGTCTCCCAACATATTTAGAGGGGTTCATTTTCAGATAATAGATGAGCTGAAAGGATCATGTAACTCATTATTCGAAAAATAAAAGTCCTTCAGTTATGTTTTATTCAACAAAATCCTCTGTACAAATGATATTATACAAGGTATCACATGAAAAACAGGTATAAAAATTTACTCATAAAAACATGCATAAAATCGAGATAATTAATGGCTTTTGATTCTTTCCAGTTAGGAAAGCCGTGGAAAGCCCAAAATTATGAAATTTAACAGTTCTCATAGAAAACATTTTCAAACATATAAAATAAAAACTGTGAGCAGCCAGTTTTATGGCAAACCAGTGACGCACCAGCAAGGGGGCTGGAAAATTTGCCTATCCTATTACCACAGATGTATGAATTTGTAAGTGTGTGTGTGTATTTAAGACTCATTATATTGGATTGAGAATCTATAAAGACTGACCCCCACATTAATAGTTAATAATTCATGTGTAAAAAATTGAATAATAAAACACGATAAGGTAAGCAAAGATTAGCTTGACAGTTTGTGTAAGATAATTATATTATATCATGTCAGAGCTCTGATACATAATAAAACATAGGAAGAAAATTTACAGGCTGAAGTTAAGAGAATACAGAAGAAAGTAATAAAGTTACCTACTTAAGACTCACAAATACATCGTTTTCAACAGGATCGCCGACACCATGATCAAATGATGGAGCATAAACTGATCCCTGATAAATCATTCAGCATTTCAGATAATACTTCAGATAAATCCAGTTTTGATCATGACTTCTAAATGTTGTTCCTGTAAATTTTGCTGAAGGGAAATTTTCTAGTTACACCATGAGCCCAAGACATGGATAAAATTTTGCACAGTAATCCCTATCGTACAGAAAATAAAAGCATGTATTAACAGAAAATCACCTCATTTCTGATGGAATGAAGACATTTTAGGAGCAGCTCAGGATTGAATGTCCAAGGTGCTACATGTATCAGTTGCAGCATGAGAACATCCGTCCATATAAGATCCTTAATTTTCAGTGGTTATTTTAAGAAACTCTCACCTCCTCTTCTAGCATGGGCTTCTTCCGGGTTCTAACAATAAGAAAACAACAATTCAACTGATTGAAAAGGTATAACAAACTTACATATAAAATAATTAAAACAATGAGTTTACAAAAACAATAAAGCTTTCGACTAGGCATGAGTGATCAAATAGAATAAAGCTCCTCGATAGGAACCTATACCCCAAAGCTAACATAGTATAACCCAATTGAGACATTGTAGAAAAAGCTAAACTTCTTTTAATGTCTCTTTGAGCAACAGTGAAAGTTGCTCCTATAGTACTTTTATTACGTCTATTAAAGAAATAAGATGCATTATGGAAGGTATAACTATGAAAAGAGGATGTAGCCTAACTACAAGAAAAATTCCCGCTGCTTCCATAGTAGCAGCATGTATAAGAGCCGAAATGGGAGTGGGTCCTTCCATAGCATCAGGTAACCATAGGTGAAGGGGGGTTCATAATCATGAGTGCCACTATAGTTAGTGAAAAGGCATCCTGCAGTCACCCAAGATGTCTGGAATTTTGATCTTTGCTGATAAAGAAAAAAGAGAGGGATGGAAACCAAAAAATGAGGAAAGAAGCAAGAAGAAGGAACTTTACGATCTACTAAACTTGTCCATTTCAGATGTATACTGCGTGTACTGGCTCTCTTAAGAAAAATCGTCCACTTGTTGAGAAGCTAAAAAGAACTAGTTCCTTTTTCCAAGCCATTATGCAATTAGGAGTTAGGACTCATCAAACATGAAGAACCGAGTTAACTGGTATAGCTAGTCCAATTATTGATTTACGTACAGCTACAGTGATAGCTCCAGATGTTCAGTTTCCACTTTGTTCTTAGAATTTGATATGCTTTTTTTAAAGAGTTATATGTTCCACATTTATCTAAGACAAGTCTTATACGTGTTGCCTTTGACCTGTTTGTTTATTTGTTTGTCGTCGCACATCTTCATACCCTCTCTTGTTTAGCACTATTTTTTTTGTCTATCAATTTTCATGAAGTATTTACACAATATTTAATTTACAGAATTTACTTACTTAAATTATCATATTAGACATAAGTCACATAACTACTAAAAAATTTATATGAAGCTGCAGAATTTATCTTATATAAAGCTTGGGATCAGAAAATCTCATAAAATTACGTACAGCTACAGTGACAGCTCCATATGTTCAGTTTCCACTTTGTTCTTATACTCTGATTGCTTTTTTTTAGACATATAGGTTCCACATATGTCTATAAAAAGATTTTTTTTAAGAGAGAAGTCGAAATGCTCCATCAATAAGTGTACGTTATCCTGTTTCTCGATGGAAGTTTAATTCTCTCTTAAAAGAGGTCAAGTTCCTTACTCGTGCCTTCCATATTTGAATTTTCATATTTATTTAGCTAAATCAGTAAATAATTTTCTCGACATATATTTAAGAATTATGGCGTATATGCTCTGTATATGATACTTTACATAAATCTAAAACTAAAATTCGATCCAATACAATCAATATTATCTTTCAACTATTAATAAAGTATTAAATGAATTTTAACAGTTCACCTTTATAGAGATAAATATTGAAACTGCCAAAAGTTAAAAACATTTATCACAACATTTGATAAAGGAATAGTAAAAAACACTAACCTCCATAACATCCAACTGGGAGCGATACAGATGAAAACCATCCATGGGAAGCACAGTAGCAATGTCATCAGATTGTGTGGAAGCTTTCAGGGCCCATAGTTTGTTCAAACGGAAGACTACTTCAGATGCTACTGTTGTCTTACCAGCACCTGGAGGACCAGCCAAACCAATGATGTACCTGCAAAAAGTCAAAAAAAAATTAGATATTGACCAAAAAAAAAGTAATATTGGTAGTAATTTTGTGCTATTTAAATCAAGATGTGGGTTCATTTGAGAAAAAAGATTAATTAGAAAAGATGAGGAAGAAGGGAAAAGTTTGGTAGGATTCAGGATTGTCTTTTATCCTCCTTTTTTCCTTTTTTCCCTTTTGAATATCCATATCCGCTAAGGGAAATAAAACAACAGTAACAGAGTCTCTATCCCGAATTTTGGGGATCAGTTAAGGCTAGTGTTTTTAAATATTCCTGGCCAACAATAATAAATTAGCAATGTATTTAACTGCTAAGATAAAAGGGGGTTTTGAACTTCTACTGCAACATAAGAAAACACAACAAAAACCAACCCCAAGAAGCATGGTTATTTACAGTAATGCAAGAAGGTTTTCAATATTTGAAATAGGCACAGCAAAGTTGTGTCTTTTTTAGGGAAAAGCAGCGTCATAGCCCTTATTAGTATAAAAGTGAAAGAACAACTTACTAACTACATGGTTGAAACTGAGAGATACGCAAGCAGAGCACAAAGTTTGAAGGGATAAAAAGGATTGGGACAAAAGCATTTACTTGCTACACACGTTATTGGAAACCATCACAAATTTCATTCCAAAATATTCATGTTTGCATCATTATCATTTGAAAAATAAAACACTAGTCTTCAGATGTGTTTGTGCATAGGGTGAATTTCAGATAGACCCCCTGTAGTATCGCCCAACTGCGGATAGACCCCTTGTAGTTCTATTGGTGGGGATAGACCTCCAGTACTATTTGCCCAAGTACGGATAGACGCCCAAGGCGCACTTTTTTTTGACTCGTTTAAGAGTAAATAAAACGGAAATAAAAAAAATAGCATATAGTTTTCACACACACCAAATCACAAAATTGTATGGGTGGATTTTTTGGTTGCAACCGGTGGGGATGGAGTGGGGCTGTCCTCTATCATCCTCTTCTGAACTTTTTTATTTTTACTCTTTTAAGAGTCAAAAATTTTTTCACTCAGGGGGTCTATCCACACAATAAGAACTATAGGGGGTCTATCTGCACTTAACCCGTGCGTTGGACAAATAAAATAATGGTAGCATCATGGCATTACAATTAGTCATATTTAGAGAAAGTCTAATAATGTAAATCAGCACGTATTGTGGCAAGCACTTCCATTACAAAATTCCTTCTGAGGGCTTCATACCATTCCAAAACTTCATACGTGATATTAGGGCCTGTTTGATTCAATAGAGGCTAGGAATAGGATTAGGAATCCTATTTTATTTATGGATTCCAACCTAATCCATATAAAATTTATAGACAAGTTTTAGTTTTATGGAATCCCATTTTTTTTGCATTCTATGTTTGTTTCACCCAAAGGATTAGGAATCTCACTTTTATAGAATTGGTCCAATTCCTAATACCATGTTTGGTTCAGAAAGAATTGGGAGAGGTGTCAGAAATCGGAATAAGAATTGGAATAAGAATTGGAATAAGAATTGGGAGAGGTGTCAGAAATCGGAATAAGAATTGGAATAAGAATTGGAATAAGAATTGGGAGAGGTGTCAGAAATCACGCCCAATTCCTCTCAAAAAGAACGGATTTGGGTTTCTTAAAATTACCACTGTTTGAGCCACTTTATAGAATAGCAATTCTATAAAAAAATTTTGAACCAAACTCAGGATTAGGATTCAGTTGGATTCCATTAATTACGAAAACGCCACTGTCAGGTCCAAATATCATTCCTATTCCATAAACTTGGTGAAACAAACAGGCCCTTAACAAACGTACTTGGACTTGAGATTGTCGGATTCCGCCAAAAGTGCCACCTTAGGAAGAAGGCGTTCAGCAAGAGAGTCGTATATTTCTTCAATGGACCTTAAAGAGCAAAGTGAAAAACAAATACATCAGCAATCTATCCAAGATCAAGGCCAAGTGTAATTTTTCACCTGATATTCTAAGTTTCTCAAATTAAATGAAATGCTCAACTCTTTGCAATATGTAACTTGCTCTTACAATATCAAAATCGACACGATACCTGGCTTCTAGCACTGGAATCTCTTGCTTCTGACTACACAAAACCTGACAAAAATATATACATATAAAAGAAAGTAGACAAACATTTTAGATACAAACGAAATAGAATCAAAATGAAAATATTCACCATCTGCTTGTTTTGCTTCTGCTTCGCATTTAGAGACCAAATATGACCTGAAAACGATTTGGTTGATTTTGTTGCCAAAGAGGAATACCATGGAGAGCACTTGCACTTGATTTGTTGCCTCAATCGATGTGAATCTATTAAAAAGATGGGATTTTTAGGGCAAAAGTTCAGAAATTGACTATAACCGATGATTAATTGGGCGATAGATAAAGGAATCGCTAGTTTCGCATTGGATTCGAAAGATTATAAATTAGAGAACCTACCAGAGGAATAGAGATTGGAGATTCCCTTCGAGTGTGTGAGTGACAGCTCCATTGATTTCACGCAGAGAGGAGAGAGAGAGAGAGAGAGAGAGAGAGAGAGATTTACTCTGACGCAGAAAAAAGAACGCCTATAATTTAGGGTGATTTTATAAACTTTTGATAGATGTGGAGGTTTCCGTGGTAAAACTCTAATGTTAGAGCATCTCCAATGGTATACTGTATAGTTAGAGTCTCCAATGGTATACTGTATAGTTAGAGGGTTTGACGAGAATATTCTTCAAGATTCCTTAAATATAGAGGGTTTATAAAAGTTGTGCTCCAATGGTATACTCTATATTTATATGAATTAATCTATCATTAACAAAATAATGATGTAAATAAAATAATTAAAACTTATCATTTTTTGTACAAAAATTATACCTTTAGAACCGTCTCGCCGAAACATTTTAAATGAGATTAATATTGAATATTTTTAGAGTCGTTTTTAAATTAGTTTATTTTAATAGAATAAAATAAAAATATTCATTAATAAAATAAATACGTGGGGATCTATATAACCCGCCCCAAAGGAACTACATTCAGAAATACAGAAATTACATTATATAACTAAGATAGGAACTACATTCAGAAATACATAAATTACATTATATAAGTAAGATACGGTAACAACAGTCTAAAATTCCGGTAGGTCATTTCCATAGCTACCGGTGCCGTACTGATACCCTGACGGACCCCAATATCCAGTTCCTCCTGAAACATGGGTTGAACTATCAAATTGAAAATCACCGCTATTTCTGCTAATGATTTGTTGTTTTTTCCTCTCAAAAAATGCACATTCCCTTACATCAACAATCTTACTCAAATCAATTGATAATATTTCTCTATCCTCACGATCACGCTCAAGAATCTTACTCAAATCAATTGATAATATTTCTCTATCCTCACGATCACGCTCAAGATGAAATTGTGCACGCTGTTGAGCCAATAGTTGATTGCGTTGTTCTAATTGTACAGCCCGTTGATCTAATTTTTTCTTATCATTTTCTAATTTCATCATCATTAGTTGTTGCATGGTTTCCCTTCCAAGCTCACGTTTTTCCTGCATTTCTTTGATATTCTTAAGAATATCAACATCACACTCAGATGGGGAGATGATCTTTCTCTTCGCCTTTTTCGTCTTTCTTCCAACGGGTCGACTTGATGAGGCGTTGGTAGGAGATTGTTCATCACCCATCAGATTAATGCAGTCCATTGAGTTCGACTCTGATCCTTCGGCATTTGACATGGTTCCAGACACAGTCATCTTTGAAGGTGTAGGGTCAGCCCACTTCTCAGCATCCTTTAGAATATGCCATATGTGTTCATATTGAAACTCTTTTTTATCTTTAGATTCTTGCTCATACAGAGCTTTAGCTTTAATAATCTAATATAAAAAAGTTAGAAATTTTCAGGATAACAAAATATGATAAATTTAAAGTTAGATACTTACTATATCCAATGATAACAAAATATGATAAATTTAAAGTTAGATACTTACTATATCCAATTCAGAAGCACCACTTGGATTAAGCCGCTCGATCTGTCGAATGCAACCCACTTACTATATCCAATTCAGAAGCACCACTTGGATTAAGCCGCTCGATCTGTCGAATGCAACCCCTGAACAAGAAACAGAACTTTTAGCGACGGACAAATCCGTCGCTAAAACTCGAAAATTCGTCACTAAAACCTTTAGCGACGGAAAAATTAAAATTTCGTCGCCAAAATACCGTAAGTACAGTGAGGGTAGCTAAAATGACCTTTGGCGACGGATTTTCCGTCGCTAAATTTCAACGACGGAACATTACCGACGGCTAATCCGTCGCTCTATTTTTTAAAAAAACAAAAAAACATTAGCGACGGATTTTCCGTCGCTAAAAACAACATTAGCGACGGATTTTCCGTCGCTAAAAACAACATTAGCGACGGAAAATCCGTCGCTATAACATTTTAAAAAAAAGAAAAATTATTTTTAAAAATTAAAAAAACATGTATTATAATATAATAAATTTAAAACCCTGTTCAATCAGCCGTATAATATTCATTCTCACGTATATATAACACAAATATTTTAATAAAAATATCCCAACATAATAAATATTGTTTATACATCACACCATGATAAGTATTATTTATACAGCACATACTCATTCATTGTTTTCAAAGGTAAAAAAAACAAATCAGTCCTCCTGATCATCATCATCATCATCCTCATCACCAGTTCCACCTGCAAATATAAGTCTCGGCCTGCAAATATAAATCAAACGTTAACAACATGGCATGACATGCAAGTATAGAATTAAGATAGAGTATCATGGCATATTCTTATGTATTACATGTTTCGGTTTGGTTTGCAGGGGTGGGTGGGTTTTTCACCAAACTATCATAAACTTCTTTAATTAGTGAAAATTAACATTTATTTTTTCCCACACTAAACTACCATGCCTTGACGGTAGTTAGGGTCCAGACATGTTTTAGAAATTTTGCTCTTATGTACTTTGTACTTTACCAAAAGAGTTTTTCGGGTTAGAGTAGATAGACATTATTAAGCTTATTTTAGACCTTTGTCCAAGACATAACGCTGCTAACAACAATTTCCAGTAATTCATGGTATTTTCCCACAATTGTGAAAGTGTATGATAGTTTGATTTAATAAAAACGTTTTATAGTAGTTTTGTGCAAACCCCTCAAAGTTCATGATAGTTCAGAGGGATTTACCCTATAAAATGCATCATATATACTGAGCAATATATACCGCGATAAAACAAACAAGTTAAAAGTTAAAACCTTACCTAGGAGTTGTGTGCCCATAGAAGTACACTAATGGCATTTCAATGGGAGTAGCAGCTATAAATCCAGGAATAGTGATCGACCCCTGACCAATATCCAAATCCACGAATGTTGGTTTCCAACCCTGCTTACTAGCCCAGCTCAAGAGCATCCTACACAGGCTACTCTTTCCTGAATCAGTCGGCCCTACAACAATCACCCTTGGACCCTGAAACACAAAAATTTAATCTTTGAAATCAATAACACAGATTTCACAAAATTGACCGAAGACTCCCAATCAGTTGACAGTCTTAAGTGTCCAAAAAAACAATTTCTGAGAAAAATTCGACTATAATACCTGTGAATTACCCACATCGCTGCTTGCTGCAGCCTTAGCCCTGGACCTTCGCACATCGAGTATCGCATGAACATTTACATAACTAACCATAGGAGTCTACAAAATTAGAGCAAACACAATAAATTCCAAGGAAAAAAAAGGAAAAAAGGCAAATTTTACAAAATCATGCTGAACTTCAGTGATGTTCCACGAAATGATATTACAGTTTCAGTTCCGTAACTCCAAAGTTCTTTTCAAAAGTTACAAGTTTATTTTTTCCTCTTTCTAAAGAACAACACCCCAAAGTTTAAGGCGGTTTTGTGAAATTAACCCAAACAAAAAACAAAAGATCAAATCTTTAAGCAAATCACCTCATCAGCAACATACTCAACATCACTGATGCCTTCCAATTCCACAGTCGCATCATTCCACGTAAAAACCTAGGGGGGAAATCCGAATTTATTTTTTTTCCCCTCAAGAAAAAGGGGGTAAACAAGCAAATAATAGAATTGAGAGGGTTTTTTTAACATTACAGCGAATTTGTGTCTGGGGGGTATGGAGAGCCAAGTATCGGGAGGGAGCTCGGTGCCGAAGATCTCGGCGGTGCCGGAGAGTAATCGGATCCGGATTTGGGTATCTGGTCCGACTTCGACCCGAAGTCCGATTTGACGCGAGATCTCGCAGCTTCTGGAACTCAGGGATGGAGTCTCGACCGGAGACGGGGAGATGGTTGATACTGGCGGAGAGAAAGAGAGAGGGAGGCAGCGGCGCGGCTCGTCGGTAGGGCGGCGGCGCGGGTCCGGCGCCGGCGAAGAGAATGAGAAGGGGGAGAGGGGGGGATGAAGAGAGAGAGAGAGAGTGGGAAATGGGAAATGAGAGAGGGATTTGGGATAAATCCCTCTCTCGGGCCCGGGCTGTCCAAATTTTTTGGGCACGCCCGCACCCAAATTTTTTTCCCAACAATTTTCTTTAGCGACGGAATTTCCGTCGCTAAAAAGCTTTTTAGCGACGGAAATTCCGTCGCTAAAGATCCGTTGGTAAAGTTAAGGAGACGGAAAAGTTCCGTCGCTAAACATGATTTTTCCGTTGGCAAAAAAGTTTTGCCGACGGAATAATAGCGACGGAATTTTCCGTCGCTATAACATGACTTATAGCGACGGAAATTTCTGTCGCTATTAGTCCGTCGGCAAAACCCCATATTCTAGCAGTGCTTATTTATGACTTTCTTAATTAAGTCCCAACGACTTTCAAGTGACCTTTGGCTCCTTTGATCTCCACCAAAATCTTTTACATTCTGATGATAAAGAGTTGTGATCCTCACCCACATTGTTTCCTTCCTCTGATTAGTACCTAAGATTGGATCTTGGGACACGTTAAGCCATGCTGAGCATAAGACTTGATCTTCTTTGTGGGAGAATGCCTTTCCTCGAGAAGCCATATGAGTTGTGAATGAGAAGAGTTGTTAATGAGAGAATAAGAATATGTGTGAATGCATTGCTTAAATAGAGGTGAATGAGATTGGAATCCAATACTGGGTAGTGGACAAAATGATTAAAGTTCAGATGAGATTGGAATCTAATGCTGGGTAGTGGACAAAGTGATTAAAGATGAGATGAGATTGGAATCCAATGCTGAGTAGTGGACAAAATAATTAAAGTTCAGATGAGATTGGAATCCAATGCTGGGTAGTGGACAAAATAATTAAAGTTCAGATGAGATTGGAATCCAATGCTGGGTAGTGGACAAAATGATTAAAGATGAGATGAGATTGGAATCCAATGCTGAGTAGTGGACAAAATAATTAAAGTTCAGAAGAGATTGGAATCCAATGCTGGGTAGTGGACAAGATGATTAAAGATGAGATGAGATTGGAATCCAATGATGAGTAGTGGACAAAATAATTAAAGTTCAGAAGAGATTGGAATCCAATGCTAGGTAGTGGATAACATGATTAAAGTTCAGATGAGATTGGAATCCGATGCTGGGTAGTGGACAAAAATGGTAAAGATGAGATAGGATTGGAATCCAATGTTAATAGTGAACAAGTTGATTATATATGAACTCTAAGTCTTCCCTAAATTATACAACACTTTTTTCTTAACATATCCAAAATGAATTTTGGTGCTGGACCATCTTCTAAAATTTGGGGCTCCTCATCTTCTTCTTCCGATGGTGAAACCCTTGATTTCTACTTTCAAGATTGGGAGCAGGAACTAGCAGAGATGAAGGAGGAGGAGGAAATCTTAAAACAATTGCATGCTCGTCTTCAAGCGAACGAGCGGCCAAAACAAAGAGGATCGATTCCTGGCCATGTGATGATCAATCGCGGAAGAGAAGAAGGTAACTCTAGACTTTGGAATGATTACTTTTTTGAGACTCCCACATATGGAGAATCTATTTTTCGTAGAAGATTCAGATGTCGTAGGAATCTATTCATTCGCATTGTCAATAGAGTAGCAGATCATGACAACTTCTTCATGCAGAAGAGAGATGCAACCGGTAATTAGGTTTATCTACCTTGCAAAAAGTAACAGCTGCACATCGTATGCTAGCATATGGAACATCGGCAGATGCAACCGATGAATATATTAGGATTGGTGAGTCAACAACAATAGAATGTCTGAAGAGATTTTGTTGAGCTGTTATAGAGGTTTTTGGAGAAGAATACCTAAGGCACCCTACTACGAGCGACATTACACGTTTGCTAAAGAAAGGTGAAGAGAGAGGGTTCCCAGGAATGTTAGGTAGTTTAGATTGTATGCACTGAAAATGGAAAAACTGTCCAACTGCTTGGGCAGGACAATACTCAGGACGTCAAGGAAAGCCAACAATTATTTTAGAAGCAGTAGCGTCATATGATTTATGGATATGGCATGCTTATTTTGGATTGCCAGGATCCAACAATGATATTAATGTGTTACAATCATCAAATTTATTTGATAAACTTGCACAGGGTACTGCTCCTCCGGCTAATTACACTATATTAGGAAAGATTATGATACAGGTTACTATTTGGCCGATGGAATATATCCTAAATGGTCCACTCTTGTACAAACTATATCCCAACCCCAAGGACCAAAGAAGCAGTACTTTGCAGCCATGCAAGAAGGATATCGAAAGGATGTGGAGCGGGCATTTGGAGTACTTCAAATACGCTTTGCCATCATCAAAGGATCAGCACGGTTTTGGGATAAACGGGTGCTACATGACATCATGACTGCTTGTGTAATACTACACAATATCATTGTGGAGGATGAACGTGAAGAAGAACTAGATAATGTTGATTCAACTCAACCTTCAAATGCTGACGAGATGGATGACAATGACGATGAAAGATTAAGACGATTCCTCGCTCGACATAGGAAAATCCAAGATCGGGAGGCTCACTTTGAACTTCGGAATGCACTCATTGAACATTTATGGCAAAGACATGGTAATGGAATGATGTAATTTTTTTAAGGAATGATGTAATTTTTTTAAGCTTGATGTATTTTAAATTCTCTGTACTTCAACTTTTCATAATGATAAATTTTAAATTAATATTAAAAGTTTAAAATTTAGGCTCATTTTGAAGGTTTCGGCAAGACAATTTTTTATGATATAATTTTTATTTAAAATAGATGAGTAAATTTAAAATTATATTAAGTTAAATAATTAGTTTAATTATATTCAAGGATACAATTGGTATTTATGAAAAGTTATAATGAGATGGGAAGGCAAAATTGGAATTAAAATCTATGAATAGTATTATAGAGGGATCCCTCTATATTACCCCAAACCCTTCAAATATAGAGGGTTACTGTAGCACCCTCTTAATATAGAGGGTGCTTCAGTTGCACCATTGGAGCCAATGGTACTCCATTTATAGAGGAATGGAGTACCATTGGAGTTGCTCTTAAGGGGGTTTCCTGATATTTAGTCTTTTATAAAGGAAAAATTTTCAAAACAGTCCCATTTTGAAAACTAATCTCAAAAAACGACCTCATTTGAAAATAGTTGTCAAAATCGACTCAGTTTCAGCTGTCGGGCTGAAACTAGGTTGGTTTTGATAAAAAAAGTTTGAAACTTCACCAGACTTCAAGTCCTGTGAAGTTTAGCAGATTAATTAAATGCCTGCTAAACTTCATGAGACTTCAAGTCCCGTGAAGTTTCATCAATTTTTTGTCTAAAAATCGATGAAACTTCATGGGACTTCAAGTCTCGTGAAGTTTAGCAGCCATTTACTTAAACTGCTAAACTTCACGGGACTTCAAGTCCCGTGAAGTTTCAAAGTTTTTTTCGTCAAAACTAGCTTAGTTTCAGCCCGACAGCTAAAATTGTGTCGGTTTTGACAATTATTTTCAAATAAGATCGTTTTTGGGAATTATTTTGTAAATGGGACTGTTTTAAAATTGGCTAAAATACCAAATTGGTATATTTATACGAACGCTTTTGTCAGTTTGGTATTTTTAAAAACTCCAACGACGACAAGGCATTAAAGCTCGTACTTTTTGTCAATAAGGCACTTTTCTCAAAACTCCGATGAAAATTTTTGCATTTAACCCCTTTATCTCCTAAAATTATTAAATTTGTGCCCTCTCTCTCCTCCTCCTCTCTCATTCCCCTCTCCACGCAAATGCAAACAAGATTTGGATGGGTTGCTAGAAAATATCTGGATGGAGAAAGGGTGGGTGATCGCGCTTCATGGGGGAGATGGCGACATTCCCCTGACGCTGCCCCTGGAGCGGAGGATCCCGAGGGAGGAAGCCCTCAGGCGATGCATGGACCTCGGAGTCGCCGCCCTCAAAGACAGCGCACCCCTCTCCGTGTCGTCGAGCTCATGGTATCCTCCTCTCTCTCCTCGATCCCTCTTATTATTACTACTACTACTGTTGCTTCCTTCTCCTTGAACAACTTTGATTTTTTTAATAATTTTAAATTTATTTTAATGTTGCAGGTCTGTGAGTTGGAGGATTGCCCGCACTTCAATGTTGGGGTAGGCTCCGTTTTGACGAGTGCTGGCACCGTCGAAATGGAGGCGTGAATCATGGACGGAAACACTAAACAATGCGGAGCCATGTCCGGCCTTTCCATGGTCGTTAATCCCATAACCCTCGCCCGGCTTGTGATGGACAACACCCCACATGTTTACCTCGGATTCGATGGTGTCGAGGTTTTCGCGAGATATAATTTAGGGAGAGGGGAATGGGAGAGGAGGAGGAGGGGGGGAGAGAGAGAGAGAGAGAGAGAGAGAGAGAGAGAGAGAGAGAGAGAGAGGGCACAAATTTAATAATTTCGGGAGATAAGGAGGTTAAATGCAAAATTTCTCACCGGGGTTTTGAGAAAAGTACCTTATTAACAAAAAGTACGAGCTTTAATGCCTTGTCGTCGCCGAAGTTTTTAAAAATACTAAATTGGCAAAAGCGTTCGTATAAATATACCAATTTGGTATTTTAGTCTTTAAAATTTTATCCTTTTATAAACTTCCTATTCTTTCGAACCAGAGCCCACAAATTCTTTACAAATAGCAACAGCATAAGTTTTCAAAACCCCTTGAATCGATTTTACGTTCGATTTAATATCAACCGGTTGATTCTCCCCTTCGTTTCTCACTGAAAGATCCAATTTTTCTTTATTTAAACGACAAAATAGGTTATTTCTATTGACTCTTTCATGCAGTTTTGTATATATAAAAAATGAGCTTGATTTCCCAAAATGCGATCTCTATCAACGAGATGAAGAACCATACGACGAAAGGAAACAGAGGAACAGAGGGATTGACGAGAACTCAAGAATGGAGCAGGAGAAGGAGATGAAGAGGCTAGAAAGCTCTCTGTTTGGAGCTCTGTATTCTCTGAAAGCACCCTAATGCCACTAGGAAAGAACCCTAGAGGGGGAGTGAATAAGGTTTATGCTAATCTAATCCGATTAATACCAAATTAAAACTTATTAATAAATATATCCTAGCAAGAATGATATATTGCAAATATATGTGCAAGGATATACAAGTAACACAAGGATAAACAATCCAAACTAGATAGTGGGCAATATAAGCAACAAGCAATATACAAAGGCGATATAAGATATGAACATAAAAATAAATGCGCCAATGCAATCACAAACAAATGATATGTTCACGGAGTTTGGTCCCCACGATCTACGTCTTCGTTCCTCACCTCGAGGAGATCTCCACTATCATAACTGGATTTTCTACGCTCACCTGAATAACGTTTACACCTCACACTCGGTTTCTAGTTCACCAAAAACTTTACAATCTCTTACAATATAACTATACTAACTATCACCTCAAGTGTTGGTCTCTAGCCTGTGTCTCCCTCAAGTGTTAGGAATTACAACCTCTCTCTAGGCATTACCACCTACCCCACTCCTCTTGGGACGACCTCGTCTCTCACCACATACTCCTCTTGGTGTACTGGTGTAATACAAAGTGAACCTCGC